ATTTCCCTTTTCACTCAGTTAAAAAGAAATTTCTAATCTATTCTAAGATTTCATCTTTTGATTTCTATTTTCGGGATATCCAGCTACATTTGACCACTTGCTGAGTCTTGATTTCTAACTTGCCGATCTTCGGGGGCTTCTCGGTTTCCTATTAGGAAATCGCCCGATGAAATGTTGCCTCTGAAGTTTCCAGGGCACTTTCCCCCCCAATTTTCCGGAGTTCCTCTTTTCCCTGCGGATTATTTAAAAGTATTTTTAATTTCCGAAGAATTAAAATATTTATGATCTCTTTCTAGGTAATATCTTTTAACTTAAATTCCATTCGGTTTGGTAAACCGCCAGGGACATGAACTACCCCGGCCCATGACTCCCTGAATGTGCCCTTGCTGCGGTCTTCCTGTGTGGGCCAGACTGCGGTCACAGGCGACAGAAGGCCAGTGCGGGTGCCGGCAGCATGCGGCTGGGGGGGAGCAGGCCCCCCCGCGGCGGAGAAGGACCAGGACGCCTTCAGGTCGCAGTGACAAGTGCCCGGCCCTGCTGCCCTCCGCCTCTGCCCCCAGAGCCGGCTGGTTCTGACGTGAGTCTGTGCTGCGTGCGTCGCCGAGCTGTGGTCTTCGCTACGGCAGCCCTGGGTGAGCGGCGCGTCACAGCGGGCTCTGTGCCGACCTGCACGGTGCATCTTCGCCCTTGTGACCTGTTGACCTGGTTCCTTGCAGCGCATTTGCTGGATGGGTGACAAATGCGTTTGGGGACGGAGTTATTCTTTTCTTCGAGTGTAAGAGTTTCATCTTTTGATTTCTATTTTCGGGGTATCCATCTTCAGTTGAGCACTTCCTGAGTTTTGTTTTCTAGCTTGCTAATTTTCGGTGGCTTCTCGGTTGCCTATTATGAAACAGCTCTTCAGGGCCTTTTAACCAGCTGAAGTGTTGCCTATGAAGTTTCCAGGGCACTTTCCCCCAAGTGCCATCTCTTCCTGTAACTGACTGTGACTCAGCCATGCTTACTGTTTTAAAATTTTATTTATTTATTTATGCATACAGAACTGGGTACAGCCCAGAGGTGCAGGGGGAGGGGTACGTGAGAGGATTCACCGGAGACAGAGTGGGGAGCAGAACAGGCAGATGGACTGAAGTCCACTGCGGAGGGGAGCAGCGGGCGGGTCAGGGGAGGTCTGCCGCGCCACGTGGGTCACCGCCCTGGCTGGGGATCGAGCTCGCGCTGCAGCGGCTGGGGCAGCTTCACAGTGCTGAGCTGCAACCTGCTGTGCCCCGGGGAGGCCCAAGCAGACTTATTTTGAATCACTTTCTATGCCGTTGCTCTCGCCTTTCCCAGAGATTTCCCAGAGCGCGACTGTTACAGACTTTCCCACTGAACTTACTTACCCTTCCCGTCATCTATGATCCACACTTTCCAGGGCTGTGAAGTCCTGAACTGGAAGCAAACTGCAGCATCTGAGGCTGTTCGCATGTGTGGCACCTCCAGATTCTGCGCAGAGTTTTGGCAGTGCAGAAAGTATCCGACACGGAGCTCAGGCTGTGGGGTAGACAGCAAAATCTGCCCGCACCGCAGCGGCTGTCGTCACTCACACCTGGAGAAAGAATTCCAACATGACCTCAGAGAGCCGAGGCAGCGCAGTCCCCGTTCCTCAGCGGGAGGTGACTCCCAGCTCGCAGTGACCTAGCAGGAATCCAGGCCCGCCGGTGGGCACCCCGCCAGGCCCAGCGGACACAGCGGCCCAGGCCTGCGGCCACCCCTTGTGCCTGACCCCTCCCCCCAACCCTTAACTTCAGGAACTTCACCTCAGTTATAACTGTCCTCTAGTCTGGGGGTCTGGCCACTTTGTTTCCTTATTTACTCATAATGTGAAATTCCCTAAATCTGTCTGCATCTTTCTGGCTGACCTGCTGCACGTGACCCCTCCAGCTCCCTCCGTTCAGTGCCACATAGTAACATCCTGTGTTTCCTTAACCTGGACAGTGTTTCCTCCTGGGGCCCGGCCACTGCCTTCTCGATCCAGGCCTCTCTGTGAGCACCGTGGCTACCTCCGTACCCTAACTTTGTAAATAATGCCCCAATCAACACTATGGACGATCAGAATTTCGAGTGGCCAATTTCGTATTCCTCGACTAATGTCCCAGCGGCTGGCTGGTCGTGGGGTATTTCCAGCTTACATCTCAAAGCCACTTTCCAAAACGGCGGCATGTGTGGGGGAAAAGGTGGCAGTGCCTCAGGCAACCGGGACATAACTGACAGGAAGGCATCTCCACGCTGACAAAGCCGCGGGTCTCGTCTCCTCCACGAGGCCAGCTGACTGCACTCTCCATGTCCGGGGCACCAAACACTCCTGAAGGGAAAGGGCATCGCCACCACCTTGTGAAGGCTCAGAAGGGCAGTGACCGCTCGAGCAGATGCCAGGAAACGCTTGCTCTGATGCAAGCCTGGCCAGGCTCGCCCCGACCTGCTCAGAAACACAGGCCAGAGGAAGCATTCTGCCCGGGAGGGCGGGGGGCAGCAGGCATGACCCGGGTGAAGGAGGGCAGTGCAGAGAAACACGGTGTGGCTGCGGGAACAGCGGTCAGGGAAGGCGGATGTTTGGGGAAGAAAATCCAGTCCCAGGCGAGGTGACACACTGAGTCATCTGTTGAAAGAGAAGAAATTTTGCATTTACAGAAACTCAGGAAAGGGAAGTGGCCGCCAGGGCCACAGCTTCGACCAGAGGCAGAAGCAAAGCGGGGCAGCCTCGGGCTGGCCCTCCTGTGTCCGCAGGCCCTCTCCGGCCGGCCCCTCTCCCGTGAGGGCCAGTCCGAGGGGCAGGCAGAGCCGGGGGGCCGGGGGCTCGCCTCTGCCCTGGGAGTCCCCAGAGCCCCGT